CCCATGGGCAGCTCTGCTCTTGCCTCCAAGAAGGGCAATTCCAGCATGGGATGGAAGCAGGAAAGGCTCTGGGAGGATTGGGATGAGCAGATAAAGCCAAAAGAGATGGGATAAATCCCCAGGAAGTTGCAGTAGCAGTAACACCTCACTGCAGGTTTATGTGCTCAGCAAAGCCTGGCCCCAGCTGGCAGGAGGGAAATGCTGCCACTCCAAAGCTCCTTTCTGCAGCTTCATTCCAGCAGGGGAAACAGGACAGCAGCTCCAGAGGAGGGCTGGGTGCCCCATGGCACCCCCAAACCACAGCCCGGGACCCCACAGCTGCACTGCAGGTGAAGCTTTGCCCCAGAGCTGGTTCCTGATGTCACCAACACCCACCCAGGCTGGATCAGGCATTCCCAGAGCAGCGTTTGGGTGCTGGGTGACACTCACTGTCCCCTCAGGGACTGCCACAGGCACACACCCCCCCCTCCAGCTGCTCCAGGGGAGCTGCCTTAAAGACATTTGGGTGTAGCAACCAGCACAGAAAAAGCAGCTTTTCCCCTGAGAGGGTGGAGGGTTCTCCTTGTCCTCTCCAGCGAGGCATGGACTCGTTTTTCTGTGCCCCATTTTTCCAGAGGGGTGAGGACTCATCACACACGCACAGGGCTGACAGGAAGGGAGTCACTCCCTGCTTCTAAACCACTCCAATATGGCAAGGCAATGTTAACCAGCTGGGAAAGCTCTTTAAAGACCCTTAATTAAAGGCTGGCTGTTGCACAGGCCCCTTTCCCATCCCCACCAGGAGTGTTTCCCAGTTTCCCGGCCCCTCTCCCGCTGCCCTCCATCCCTCACACTTTCCTTCCCTCTGGCATCTGCCAGCAGCGTGCTGTGGCTGCCAGGGGGGGTCTTCAGCAATCAGCCATCAGATGGAAGTTAAAACTCAGAGTAAAAGGGGGGAAAAAAAAAAAAAGGGGGGGGGGGAAATTCCCTCGCTGTTGATTTCCAGGCGTGGCTGCCAGCGCTGTGCCAGCCTGATCCTTCCCAGCAATCCCAGCCATATTTACTGGGAAAAATGGGGCTGGATCAGCCCTTAGAGCTCCATTCTCTCCTCTAATACCAGCTGTGGTATCACCAGGAGCCACAAACGCTCTGGCTGTCTCCTCTCCTCCTGCCCATTGCCTGGGGAAGGAGCAGTGGTGGCAATGCCCCATCCCCTGTGTCCCCTCTACCCCATAGCCATGAGGGCTTCACAATCAGGGCCTGGGGTTCACCTCCTGCCAGGGGAATCCTGCCAGAAAGGCATCAATTTATTCTTTTGTGTGATATAAATTAAGTGAGGCAACACCTTGTTGTTTGAAATCAGAGCATAAATTTGGCATTTGCACACAACCACACTGATGGAGCCCCCCCAAAAAACAGCAGCCCCTCACTTACCAGCCAGTGCCAGCTCCTGCTCCCTGAGCTGGGACAGCCTCTGCACCCTGCAGAGCTGAGGGAAATCCTGCAGGGAGGCTCCAGAGCCTCCTCCCAGCTTTTATAAGCCACAGGTGCCTGGCAGCACCAGGCTCACCTGGGCAGTGTGGGGTGGGACAGGTGTGGGCACACACAGGGCACCAGGGGATGGGGAGGGATGGGCATTTCTAGGGAAGAACACGACTTCTTCTGTTATAGGTTATGAACACTCAAGATGAAATGTGGGACTGAAAATCAGCCCTGCTGCTCTCCTCATCTCCAGACCCACGCAAAAGCAGGGAAGTTTTAACTTCTTGCTTTTGGAGCTTTTTTTTTTTTTTTCTCTTTCTTCCCTATTTTTGTTCTTTCCCTTCTGTCCTCCTAAATCTGGTATAACAGAAAAAGGAGTAAATAAAAAAATTTGGAAGCTTTTCCAGCCCTGCTCTTCCTGGCTTATGGAGTGGAATGGAGAGCGAGGCCCAGAGCACAGGAACCACAAAACTTTGGAGAGCTGGATTTTCAAAACAAAATTAGGTCTAGAAATGGAAACTTTGGTTAACTGAGACAGGGATGAAAACTTCATTTCATACTTGGCTGCAAAGCTGGATCTTCATCATCCTCTTGCTCTGGCACTTCCCCAAATAACCTGGTGCTCCATTTTTCCAGCTCCACGAGCACAGGGTGTTTTGCCATCATCCCCTGAGCAAGCAGCTGCCCAAACTCCCTCTGTCCCAGAAAACACCAGCACAGCTCAGCATCCTCTCGTTGTAACTTTATTCCAAGAGGTTTTGAACAGGAAGATCCAGCAGTGACATCTGTCCCTCAGCTTCTGTGGCAATTTCAGAGAAATTTCTCCCAGAGAAGCTCTGGCTGCCCCTGGGTCCCTGGAAATGTCCCAGGCCAGGTTGGGCAGGGCTTGGAGCAGCCTGGGACAGTGGAAGGTGTCCCTGCCATGGCAGAGGTGGCACTGGATGAGCTTTAAGATCCCTCCAACCCAAACCATTCCAGGATTCCATGACCCTGGAGAATGCAATGTCCCAGTGGAGAAGCGCTCAGTGAGAACTCAGAATTCCAAGAAATCTCTGCTCAAGCTGAACCCTCCACGACAGCCCGAATGGGACAGGGCTGCTGTCACCATCCTGCACTGAAACACTTTTTTTTTTTTTTTTTTTTTTTTTTTGGAAGCACATCGCTCCACTGGAGCTCTTGAAAGCACCACAAACTCCACCGAGGTGGACTTAAACCCGTGCTCGGCTCAGAGCAGGAGCCGGGAGATTTCATCCCCTTGCTTACCAAAGCTGCTTTTATTGTCTTGATCTAATGAAGTGCAGACTTCACCTGGACAGAGCCATAAGTGGCACCTCTCGGAGGCAATGAATACAAATACTTGACCTCGTGAGCTGCGGGGCAGCAATTAGTTTAAGCAGGGGGTTTGTGTAACACTTCAAAAGTCTTAATCCGTGCGGTCAGCCCTGGCACGGTATTTGCCAGAACCCATTGAGTAGTCTTAATGAGTCTGCAAAGCGAGCTTTCAATACATTTTGGGTCGCTTCAGATGCTTTAAATGGCATAGTCTATATGGTATTGTGCGGCTTTAGAAAGGGCCGGGCTTTAAAAAAGTATGGTTCCCTTTCACAGGGCAGACAGAAACCATCTTTAGAGCCGGGACCCCGAACGTTTTGCATATCAATATGGCTGGGGCTGAATGCAGTCACTCAGCTGAGAAATAGGATCACTATCAGCGTTTCCAGGCTTTCACAGGCACTTGGGAAACTTTAAAGCCCTTGGTAGAGAATAATTTGGTCGAATGTCGTGGCTGGAAACAAAACCTAAACAAGCAGAGCGCAGTCCATCATGCGGAGCTGCCAGCGAGGCTGACAAGGGGCTCCAGCCCCTCCGACATCCCAGCCCCGGTGGGGCGGTGGCCGGGGGGGTCACAGGGCTGGGGGGACACGGACACGGACCCGGGGGTCACAGGGCTGGGGGACACGGACCCGGGGGTCACAGGGCTGGGGGATACGGACCCGGGGGACCCCCACACTGGTCATGGGGTGCTGAACCCATCCCACCTCTGTTGTTGATGTCCAGGGGTCACAGAGCTGGGGGGGACACAGCTGGGGGACCCTAAATTGGGAATGGGGTACTGAACCAATCCCAGCTCTGCTGGTTGATGGCCAAGGGTCACAGAGCTGGGGGGACCCCACACTGTCACGGGGTGCTGAACCCATCCCAGCTGCATCACCCTGAGGATTTGGGGATCTCATCCAGTCCTGGTCTGGTCTCCTCTCACTCTTCCTTGGCCATATCCCACTTTCTGCCGGTCACAAAGTCCCCAGGACTGTCACCTCGATGGCCCCTCTCCAACAGAAAGTGGCATTTCACTCCAGCATCACCTCAAGCCTGCCCCGTGTCACTTGTTCTGGGAATGAACAGGAACCAAACCTCACCTGCAGCATGGCACAGGAACCAAACCTCACCTGCAGGGGCACAAGGGAGGTGCCAGGACCCGGGAGCAGGGAGAGCTGGGTGGGATAAAACACCAGGTGTGGGTGTGAAACCATCCCAGGGCAGGGAGGAAAAGGGATGAGGCTCATTGTACATCCCAGAAAGTGGTACCTGCTTCCCTCATCGTGCCACGTAGTGAGGGGAGGAGGCACCTGAGCAGTATGGGCAGCTCTGGGATGCAGGTTTGGGATGCTGCACGATGGATGAAACCATAGCCAAAGCCGATTTACAAATAATGCAGGGCCTGAGGGCCCTCCAAAACTCATAATTAGCTCATTAAAGAGACAAATACAAGTCACTAATAAGATCTTAGAGGTTAATTAAATGTTTTCCCCATCTTTAATTAAGGGAAAACTAGTTAGGAGAGATTAAAGTAATTTCTGCAGCCTCCCGTGATGACCCTCGATGGCTGCAGATTTGAAAAACTATTGAGATTATTGAACTGAAAGGGCAGAGTTTGGGGTAAATTGTGGAGAAGCTGGAATTTTCCTCCTGAGGGTTAGAAAGGCCCTGCTTTTTCATGGGAAGGTGATCCACAACTCCATCTCCCCAATTCCTGCCATTTATTCAGAACTGCTGCTGTTTATTTTTTATTTTTTTTTCCCAGCTGGGAAATCCTTATGGAATCTGTTCCATCTACAAAACATTTCCCAGGACTGGGATTTGCTGCCCAGCCATCCCCTGGCCACCAGGGACTGTGTCACCCCCAGAACTCGGTTCAGCAAAACCCCAATCCTGCCTGCCCCAGAGATTTCCAAAGTTTTTATTTGGGATGGTGGATCCATGCACACAAACTCACACTCCCACCTGCCACCCAGAACATTCCCAGTTCATGGAGATCACCAAAGTTTATATGGAAGAATATTTAATCTGCTCAGGGAGGGGAGAGGGCTCATCTGTGGTTTTATTTCTTAAATATTTCTCTCTACTCCAGAAAAGTCCGTTTCTTGCCAGAAAAGGTCCAATATAAATTAGAACAAAGGGAGGAGGGTGCTGGTGGGGTGGCCATGGGCATCTCTGAACCGTGAGCATCAGTGACCATGAACATTTCTGGGTCACAGTGACCATGAACATTTCTGGGTCACAGTGACCATTGGATCACTGGGTCACAGTGACCATGAGCATCCCTGGGTCACAGTGACCATGAACATTTCTGGGTCACAGTGACCATGAGCATCCCTGGGTCACAGTGACCATGAACATTTCTGGGTCACAGTGACCATGAGCATCCCTGGGTCACAGTGACCATGAACATTTCTGGGTCACAGTGACCATGAGCATCCCTGGGTCACAGTGACCATGGGATCCCTGGGTCACAGTGACCATGAACATCCCTGGGTCACAGTGACCATGAGCATCCCTGGGCCACGATGACCACAGACATCCTTGGACCACAGTCCTGGCAGCCCAGGTACCAGCCCGGCACGGTGCCCTGCTGATGGGCTCAGTCCCACCCAAAATCCTGCCCTGTCATCTGATAAAACTTCATGTTGAAGGGTCTGTAGAACTCCCGCAGGCGCTGCACCACGTGCCCGTCGATTTTGGGATGCGGCCGCCCCTTGGATTTCCCCAGGCAGCGAGGTTTGCTCCCCCCCTCCGGCTTCTTCAGGCAGGGAAAGCCCTTGGTCTCATTAAAATAGAAATGTTTGTCCGTCACCACCCTCTGGAGCCCCAGGAAGTCCTGGACACGCCCCATCTCCCCCGCGGGATCGCTGACCAGCCTCTCCCCGCTGACAAAAAGGAATTTGGAGAGCGGGAAGTACTGCAGCCAATTATCCAGGTGCTTGGCGTAGATCCCGATCCTCACCGCGCTCCAGCTCGTGTCGATCAGTCCCGTGCTGAGGTTTTTGAAGGCCAGGGCCTGGAAGCTGGGGATGGAGGGGTTTTTGGAGAGGGTCTGTGTGTAGTCTGAGATGGCTCTGGTCACCGGGTTCCGAACCACCACGATCAGTTTCGTGTCCCGGGACATGTTGTGGATTCGCCTCGGGGCTTCCTTGGTGACAAAATAACTCGGGGTCTTCTCCATGGTGATCTGTCCCTCCAGGGTCCGGGGCATCAGGCTCCTGAGGACAGAGGGACACGGTCAGGGCTCAGCTGCTCCCTCCCCCCCGATGTCACAACGGGTGAGAACGAGCCCCAAAACCCGGCCAGAAATGCTCAGGGGTGAGGGAAATGATGGAATTGATCTTTCCAAACGAGCTGTGGGTCTGCTGGTGGGTAAAACCAGCACTGAGAGATAAAAGGAACAATGGGAAGGATTCCACTGATTGATTAATAAAAAAAATATATCATTTCCCTTTACAAACAAACTGTAGGTTTGCTGATAAATGAAATGGGGAATCAAAAGATGAAAGAAGCAATGGGGAAAAATCTATGAATTCTGTAAGAATTAAAAATTAAAAGGAAGGGTTGTACATTGGAGGGGAATCTCAGGTATCAGGGGTTTTGGGAAGTCTGTGCCTCTCAAATACCTCAGCCCATGGGGAAAGAGAGAGGGAAATGCAGATGGGATAAAAAGGAAGCTGCATCCTCCAAAAATTCAAGAAACGCCAGGAGAATGTCCCATGGCCTCTCCCTTTATTCGAATAAAACAAAAATTACTCCTCTGTCTCCTTTTTGGACATAAAGCTCTGGTGTTTGTGGATTAATTTTCCTGACGGGGGCTTCCCAAGCGCAGCCACATCTCCCCTTTCCCTGCTGCCCCCACCTTGTCACACCCCCCTGGTCACCCCCTCACCTTCCAAAGCCTTCCTGGAGCCCCCCAGCTCCAGCCTCTCTGCCCATCTCAGCATTCCCTGTGTCCCTGGAAGGAGCTCGCTGTCACTCTGCCCCACCAGCAGCACCCACAGGGCTGCTCTTCCCCCTTGGAATTCCCCCAGAGCCCCTTCCCAGCCCTTGAAATCCGTCCTGGCCTTCTCCTCCCCCCCCCCCGGTGTCAGTGGGTGATGGGCATCTCAACGCCAAGATTTTGGGACGGGGCTGGTTTTCATCCCTGTCCCCAGTTCAGATTTCATGTCCTGGACGTTCCAACTCGCCCCGTGGGATTGCAGAGGAAAATCCCATCACGGGGGTGATGCCCACCAAGGCTCCCTCCTCCTCTGCCTCCAGACAGGGAGCAGTTAAAGCCAGAAAAAGACTGTTTCCTTTTCAAAAGAAAGGCAGAAAAACCCTGAGGGCCCAGCCATTGTGCCGCGTAAAATTCACTGCTCTGATTGTTCCCTCGTGCACTTTAATGAGGCATTAATTGCCGCAGAAATTACCCAGCCGTGTCACCCCGTGTGACAGAACGGGTCCTCCCTGCCACCAGCACAGGCACCTGCCCTGCTGCCCTCCTCATCCTCCTCTTCCACCTCCAGGAAAAAAATCAAAAAATCCGGGAATGTTTGGGAAGGGACGTCCCAGATTACCCAGTGCCACCCCCTGCCATGGGCAGGGACATTTTCCACCATCCCAGGCTGCTCCAAACCCCATCCGAGCTGGCCTTGGATACTTCCAGGGGCAGCCACAGAATTTCTGGGAATTCCATCCCAGTGCTGGGGTTGTGCCTGGCAGGGATCCGGGTCCCCACAGCGGCTGGGGACAGGGACAGGGCTGTGCTGGGGGAGTCACGGCTCTGCCCAGCAGCATCTGCTCCTTATGTAATGGGAAAAGCTTGAGGTTTCCGGGATTTTTCCCCTGGACTCAGGAAAGAACATTTTATTAAAAGCATTTGTGAGCCGGGTCCCCACAGCTCCCTCCCCCAAACGAGAGGCAGAAACCATTTGTGGCTTTTCCCCTCCACTTTTAGTTTAATTTTTGCGTTTTTCGAGCCAATTCCTGTGCCCTCACCTGGCAGCCCCTCTGTTTGGCACCAGTGGGATGCCCTTCAAGGATCCACGAATCCCACGGGTGCTTTTCCCATCTTTTCCAGCTCTTTTTTCCCCCCTCCTCACCCCAAATGATTGCATTTACCAGAGGCCGACTGGCAGAGCTCCAGAATCACCTTCCCAAGCAGGGATTAGACCCATCCCTGTCCCCTCCCTGTGCTGGTCCAGAGCCAAGGAAAACCCCAAGGATCGGGATTTATTGGGATCACAGCACAGCTCCACCCTCCCTCCTGCTGGGGCTCCCTCCCAGCCAAGCATCCCCAATTTTCATCCCAGTCAGAAAATGCCACAGGGTTGGTTTTGTTTTTTTCCAGGCTGGCAGTTTCCTGAGGCATCCCTGTGGTGTTTCCTTGGATGCCTCCAGGATTCCTGAACGGCTCCTTCCTCATCCTCACCCCACCCCAGCCAGGGCTGAGTCCTGCTCCTCGGTGGGCAATAAATTGTTTTATTACCAACAGCAAACTGGGCATGGGAGACCCTGGAGAGTTGACATTAAAGCAGCCTGGACACGTCCAGGGATGGGGCAGGCACAGCCCCTCTGGAAAACCTCTCTGGAAAACCTCTCCTATCCCTCCTTTCCTCCTGCAGAGGGACCTCAGGGCAGCCACACCATCCACAGCTTAACTGCAATCTAATTAACAGAAGTTTTAATTAAAGCCTCCCAGCCGGGGCAGCAGCTCCTGTGGCTGGGATGGGGTGCAGGGACATCCCAGGGACATCCCGGGATCCCTTTGGGAACAGCAGCTTCCAAACACGAATTGTTCAACTCCTCCTCCTCCTCTTCCTCAGCAGCCCGAGCACTTCCAGCTCCTCGCAGGGTAATTATACATTTCACATTTTCATTAACGCCCTAACACTTCCCCTAAATTACCCTGGTTAATTATTGATAACACCCAGCTCCCTCCAGATCTGGCTTAAACTGGCAGAGAGCAGAGCCAGCTTTGTTATGCCCCACTTTAGCCCAAACATTAGGAACTTTAATTAAATTTACAGTTAATTCTTACTGACCTTAAAGAGCACCGTGGGAATGCCAAGCAGTGCCTGCAGGTACAGGACACGGGCAGTGGAGGAGCCTGGAAGGAATTGGGATTTCCAGAGGAGTCTGAGTGCCCAGGAGGAGGGATAAAACCCTTTTACCTCTCTATTAAGCTGATAAATTTTTTTGTTTTTAATTAATAAAACAACTTGGCACTTGAGAGGCATCAGAGCAGGGGTCTCCTATGTGGAGACATTCAACACACGAAAATGCTTCCTCGGTTAAGGTAACACACCATAAATTCCAGCAGATAAAATGATGATAAAAATGCAGAAAGCTGCATTAAATAGTGATTAACAGCCACAGCAGGCAGGGAATCAAAGCAGACTTCAAAAACTGGGCCAACATAACTTTGCAGAGTTAATTGGTTCATGATTCCTGATGATTTTTGGAGCAGAACTCCTCCCAGCACCGAGCTGAGAGATCAGGGGACGAACTCTCAGGAGATAAATAAGTCTCCAGCCCAAAGCATCCCTGAGTTATCACCCACAGCAGCTCCGGGAAGAAAAATTAACTCTGTCCCAGCCCAAAGCAGGAGAGAATTAACTCTGTCCTACCCCAAAGCAGGAGAGAATTAACTCTGTCCTACCCCAAAGCAGGAGAGCAGGACAGAAACTCTCACATGGAGACAGCCCAGGCTGTGCTGGGAGCGAGATGGGGGAGCCCAAAACCCCAGATCAACCACAGGTGGAAATTATGGGTGCTATAGGGTCAGGATAATGGGTGCTATGGGGTCAGGGCTTGCACGTTCTATACCATCACCAAAATGAGAAAAAAAAGGAGGGAAATCCCCTCTCCATCACTATTTTTTTAAAAAATGAACCCTGACAAAATAAAATCCTGGACAAAAGCCGTGAAAGGCAGGGATTTCTGCCGGGGGGGGGGACGGACACGGCTGAGAATTTTCTGCAGGGCAAAGAAAGTCACCCTGTCAAGGCACCGAGATGGACCTGGGGACACTGGGGACAAAACCAACACAGGGGACACCCCCCGAGGGCCAGGACAGGGCTGGGGACGGGGACAGAAGCGGTTTTTGTGTAAATGTAAAATAGTTTGGAAGCGGGGGAGGGACCAGGGCTCGGGACAGATTTATCCCGTGGCTGCAGACACCCGGTACCACCCGGATCTGCACGTGAATCGTGCCTGGGCTTATCAGGGACCGGGGACAAGGGACCAGGGACAAGGGACAAGGCTGCCTTTGTGCCCCCACGGAGTTGTCAAACTGGACCCAGTTCTGCAAAGTCCCAGACAGAGAAGTTTTCCCTGCAGGCAGCTCAAAGAGCAGCACCTCTGCTGGGGAAAGGTGGGAGAGGGCAGGGAGGGGGATGGGATGTTGGGAAGGGCAGATCCAGCCCCATATCCCTGATTTCCACTGCTGGGGGACAGGGCAGAGCCCCAAAAAAAGGGTGGGTGGGCAGCCACCCACTCACCCACCCACCCACCCATGGGGGCTCACCCCCATGCCAGCCCTGAGCTCTTCTCCCACAGGAATCAGCACAGGGCAGGGATGGCTGAGCTGGGAGGGATGGACTGGGAATGGTGGACTGGGAATGGTGAACTGGGAGGGATGGATTGGGAAGGGTGAACTGGGAAGGATTAAATGGGAATGGTGGACTGGGAGGGATGAACTGGGAATGGTGGACTGGGAAGGATTAAATGTGAAGGATGAACTGGGAGGGATGGACTGGGAAGGATAAACTGAACTGGGAAGGATGAACTGGAAAGGATTAAATGGGAAGGGTGAACTGGGAAGGCTGAACTGAACAGGGAGGGATGAACTGGGAGGGATGAACTGAACTGGGAGGGATGAAATGAACTGGGAAAGATGAACTGGGAAGGATGAACTCCCCAAGCCGCCCGGGACCAAATTAGCCCCCGCTCCTTTTGATCCTAATTACCGAGCTGTTCCCCCTTCCTTCCCCTGCAGGTCCTGCCAGAGCCCCCCAGCCGGCAGAGCCCCCCCAGCGCTCCCCATCCCCGAGCTGCCTCCATTATTTTTGATTCTTTCACCAATTCAAAAATGTGCAAATGAGGCCGCGGCTCCCCAATCAGGCCTGGCCGGGAGCTAATTGGCTTTAAGCAGGGAGACCTGAATATGCTAATGAGGGCAGTAACGAGGCAAGGATGCGCCTGGAAGGGGAGCCAAGCCCTGGGCTCCACC